CTTTGGGTCTCGGAGCAGGCTGAGCCCCCCGTGCCCTGGTGCTGCCTGCGCCGGCTCGGTGCCGGTGCGTGGCCCCGGTGCAGGGGCTGCCTGCAGCCCTGGCCCTGGTGCAGGGGAAGCTCCACGCGCCCCGGCCTCGGCGGCAGCGCCCCGCCCCAGCGCAGCCTCCCTTATCTCAGCGGGAAGTCAGGAGCAGGAAGCGCGGCCCGGCGCGGGATAAGGGTCCCGTTTACATTAGCCACTTTGTTGTGGAGCGGGCTCCCACCCTCGCCCAGCGCCTGCGGGGGGGCCCTGGCCGCAGGGAGGGCTGGGGGACGGCAGGGACCCCTGCCTAGGGTGCCATCAGGGACTCAGGTAGTCCTTGCACCCCCTGCATGGTCACAGGCAGGGATGGGGGCTGCCAGGACAGTGCCCTGCTGCTGCACCCCATGGCCCCCCCTTGCCCAGGTCGGCTCCTCCAGCCTGGACCCTGCCCTGTGGCCATGCACCAGTGCGGTTTGCGGTGCTGCCCGGGCTCCTGGCTGTGCCTGGCTGCCCTTGGAGCCGGGCCAGTTCTGGTAGCCCCAGGAACGTGGTGCTGGGCATCGCTGCCCACCGGAGCCCACGCGTCTGGTGCCTGCCGTGCTGCTGCTGCATCCTGGCCCTGGCGGCAGCTCGGCCCCAGGGCTGGCCAGGACGGGGCGAATCAATGAATTCCCCAAACGGGGAGGTCCGGGGGAGGGGAGAGTCTGTCCCGGCACAGGAAAAAGTCCTGGCGGCAGTGCGCCGCGGGCAGAGCCGTGCCGGCCGCCCTGAGAGTGCGGCCCCATGCGCAGCCCTGGCTCCTCGCACCCAGCTCCGCTACCCGCCGTGAGTGAGACCCCCTTCCCCGGGGACCCCTCACCCAGCCCTGCATCGGGGGGGTGGCAGGGGGGTGGGGGGGTGCTGCAGGCAGGGGCGTGCAGACCCCTACCCTCACCGTCTCAGCACGGGCAGGTTCCCCTGCACAGGGGGTTGGTTTTGGGGTCACGTCCCCACGTGACCTTGGGGACACCCGTCCCCCTGGGGAGCAGCGCTGTGTCCTCATGTGTCTGTGGGGACAGGCACCGACACGGGGGACTGGCAGCCGCTGGCAGTGGCAAACCCGGGCAGGGCGGCCTTGCCAAGGCCCCGGCGGGGAAGGGGAGCACGACTCTGCTAGCGCGGGAGGATGGGCCAGGGCCCCGGCGGGGAAGGGGAGCACGGCTCTGCTAGCACGGGAGGATGCGCCAGGTCCCCGCCAGGGACCCCCGCAGCCCCAGCACACTCCCAGCACGGGGGGGGTGACGCCTGTCCCCGTCCCGCAGGTTGTCCCTGCCGCCGCCCCATGTTCCGCTCACGCCGTGCCGGGCTGGTGAGGCGGCTGTGGCGGCAGCGCTGCGCAGCAGCTG